CAAGGCCTGTGTATTACTTAGTAAGAACATGAGTCTATCAGAAGAGAAGGCTGTTTTCCAGCAGTAAGATGTAGAGGAATTCTGGGTGGAGATCTTGGAGAAGAGCTTCAGTAAAGGACCGCAGGGTACTCCTCGCTGAGGGAGTGAGCAGAGGTGCTAGGCCGCGTGAAGCATGTGAGATGCCAAATGCAAACCCCCAGCTTTCCCTGGCAGCTTCTCATCCTGCCCTTTTATCCAGAATGTGAAAAGAGCAACAGACACGGATTCAGGGCTTGTCTGAGCCCAGCACTGGGCTGGGGGCAGGGGAGCGGATAAGACGGTCCCTGCAGCCCATCCCAGCTCTGACTTTTGGTCTCTTTCTCAAGAAGGCAATAGATTTGATCATGTCCAAGATCCTGATCAGCCCGAAGGGTCTTGTCTTCCTGAGTGGTTACACTCGAGGCCAATAGGGTAGTTTTCTGGCCGTAGCGGACCCTTAGCCTGGCCGAGCAGGAGGTGGCAGGGTGGGGCGTGGAACCATAGACAAGGATCTGGCCTGGCTTTCCCTTTATACAAGACCCCCAGGGAAGCCCAGAGTTGGTGTGGTAGCAAGGGACTCATCCTTGGACCAGACAGTATTCTGCTTTCTGTGTGTGATGGGAGCCACAGAACCCCACCCCCCTAGGGCCCCTCACTCATTTGCTCGACACTGTCTATAGAGCACCTCTACTCTGTGCCAGGTACTGAGCTAGGGATCCTGGGGCAGGCAGGTAAGATCCCCACTGCATGAAGCTTCCAGTCTAACTGGGGGAGACAGTAGGTAAGTAAGTGTACAAATAAACACATCTAGATGCAAGCGTGAGTATGCCTGTGTGGACGCTGCCTGGGGGTTGCCCCCAGCAGAGACCAGGTCTTAGTCTCCCGTGTGCCCCTGAAGCCCACTCCCAGGGCTAGCTCAGAGTCGGCCTCCAGTCAGAAAACATTTGTTGAATGGCCTGGCATGAGAGAGAAAGCATATGGAAAGGGCCCCGTCCTTCTCATTCTGTCCACAGTAGAAGCCAGTGTGTACACACAGAATCTCATTTCAATTAAACAGCATTTATGGAGGGCCCGCTGTGCACCAGCAGAGTCCCGAGCCCCGAGCATCCAGACGTGAATAAAATCAGATCCCTGTCTCCCTGAGCTCACAACGCCCAGGGCAGAGGCAGGCACGTGAGCAAACCAGGACCCCCAGTGTGTTAGGATGGTGGTGGCTGTGTGTGCACCCAATTCCCACCAGCACAGGACAGGTCCTCTGGCCTCTGGCTGATGCTCTGCAGGTGTTTGTGGATTGAATGGGTGAAAAACGAGGCCAGGGCACCTTGAGCCAGCGCCCTTGCATCACTTAAACCCACATACTCTGACCCTTGGTCCAGGGCCCTTTCTTGCCTAAACTGTCCCTCTAGGAGGGACGGACGAGGAAAGTGTCTCAAATATATACCAAAATCCACCCAGATGGGTAAACAGATGCCCCAGAGACAAACACATGGAGTCTCACAGGTGTGTATGCTGCCTAAGCGCGGGTAGACATAAATGCTGATCCCCATAGACTCAGGTGCCACACAGGCTGTCGTGATTAAAGCCCATTTGTGGTGCCTCAAATTGAGGTGTGTGTTGGAGGGTTGGCACGTGGGCACCCTGGGCATCACCAGACCTTGGCCAGGAGACGCCTTGAGATGGGCAGAGCTGTTAGTCTAAACCTGAGAGGTTAGGCTGATTATTGGCTTGCTGTGCATGTCCATCACCAGAGACAGCCAATCAGAGGCCAGAAGGTGTGGATTTTTTTAACAAAAGGTTTTACTGTTAGTTACTTGTACTTATTGAGGAGTTTGAACCTGGTGGGGGTCAGGACAGCGAGGTGGAGGAGGGGCAGCTGTACCAGCTTCACATGCCTTCAGGGCAGAACTGTGCACTTTAGAAACTGCCCCCTTCTCCATCCGGATTTGTTTGCCATTAGGAGCTAACAGATGGAAAGTGTTTGCAACACACAGCTCCTGGCACATTGTAGCCCCTCAGTGAGTGGTCATTGCATCCCCCAAGTGTGATGGTAAAAGTTCTGGTCTATTCAGCTGTGACGAGGGGAACCAGGGAGACAGCCTGGAGGAGGTGGCAGGAAAGTGAACTGGAGGATGTGAGGTCACATGCCCCCCTGTAAACACCAGCCCTCCTCTCCTGCACAAGGCTGGGCATTTGTTCATTGAGTGAGAGATGGATCCCTCCTCCAGAGCTGCCTTCTGCTGAAATCTTGGAAGGTTTGTGTCTTCTTTTCATAGAAGATACTATTTCTTTGTAGGAATAATAGCTTTTATAGTGCTTTCTGCCTGACAGGCACTGTTCTATCTGCTTCATACATAACAACGAATTTAATCCTCTTAGTAATCCTGTGAAGTGAGTGGGGGCATTATTATTCCCATTTTACAGATGGAGGAACTGAGTCTCCAAGTGGTTTAGTAAGTTGCACAAGGTCATGCAGTGAGTAAGTAGTGGAAGCAGGATGGCACTAGTGTCCATTCTCTAACCAAGCCCCTTTCTAGAAAGAAGATCTGGTTCTTCTTCCTTCACCCTCACTGATGTACCATGGGGCCCTGGGGAAGTCACTGCACCTCTCCGTGTCCATTTGTGTCATCTCACCTGGTGGCCTCCCAGGGCTGCTTTAAGGCCAAGCTGACTGACTGTTCATATCCCTGCTCAGCTGCACTGGGAGAAAATGGTACCCTGGTGCAGCCTTTTGGGGAGATGTTTCAGGTTGGGCGCTCTGCCTCTTGCCCCTTGGACCAGGGCCAGGATGAGCAGACCTCTCTGAGCCCCAGCAGCAGACCCATGGCTGGGCTCCCAGGCCCCCTGAGCCCTCCTGGGAGGACCAGGGTTGGGGACACCAATGAGGATGCCAGGAGAAACACCCTTCTCTCTTAAAGTAAACTCATGCAGAGAAAATCATAAACCGAGCATGCAATTTGCACCCGGGCCAAGGCCTTCAGAGCTTAAATATATTCTTATGGGCTATTTATAGCCTTGGAGAAATTCAGATTTTCTGGGTAATGGGAGTTCTAACAGACTCCAGCTGGTCAGGGCCTGCCAAGGACTGGCAGGGGAAAGAGTGGGAACTGTGGAACCTTCTGGTGCAGGACTTTGCACTTCCCAGTCTCTCCTCCCTGACCCAGGCAGGACAGGAGAAAAGGGGAGAGGAGCCTCTCTTCACCAGGGACCCAACATCTGGGTCCCTCTGTGGCCTAAATGGAGGTGAGGCCAGCTGCCTGGGACCCTTAGAGTTGAGAGGTGAGCGCCTCTACTTCAAGCCTGTCATTTCACAGATGCTGGAAATGAGGCTCAGAGAGGGGCCACAACCTGTCCAAGGCCACACAGCTAGTGGGGCCCCGGGGAGCTCTGGTCTCCTGGCCCATGTGGCAGCAGCATTCCCACAGTAAACCTGGGCACAAGACCTGAGAAGCTGGCTGGAGACACTCTTTTGGGGGAGATTGTAGAAATCCAAAATGCAGTGACTGCATGCCCTCACTCTGAACTCCGTCCTGGAGCTAACAGCCCACCCAAGGAATGGACATTGTAGGGTGGATCCCGGATTCACCATTCAGGGCAGAGGCACTCCTTCCTCCCAGCTGCAGAAACTTAGTGGCGCTCAGCTGAAGCCCTCTCCACAAATTGCCCTCAGCCGGAGAGCACGGATTCCCCTGAAGTCCTGCCCCTTCCCCGGGGGGCAGTGGGTATCCCGTGATTGGTCTGGGGTCCGGAGGCTCTCCCTCCCTTTCCCCGGATAGGACAGTTCTGAGGGCCAGCCCAGCTCGAGTTTCCTGGCAGATCAGCTGCATCCTCAGCTCAGCTCAGTCCCTCTGTCTGCCCGGTCCTGCTTCCCAGTCAGTCCTCACTCCCTCGGAGGGGGTTATTCTCAAGAGCCCACCAGTCCCCATCTCAGAGATGGCTTTCCGGGGAAGCTGGCTTACGACACGTGGTAACAGAATGGGTAAGCAGCCAGCCTGGGTTCGGATAGAGAGCAACCATTTTTAGCTCCATGGCCTGGACGGTACCTAACTTCTCCGGACAGTTGTCCTGTCTGTGAAGAGGGAATAGTTCCTGTCTCCTGAGGGTATCTACTAAATGAGACGATGTACGCCTGCTACCTGATACTGAGAAAGCACTTAATAAGCATGAGCCATTGTTACTTACCTTTAACTTCTCTGAGGTTCGGGTAAACTGGGAGAGGATATTATTACCTGCGTCATGGGGTTGCTGGTGAGAATCAAGTAAGATTGAGAGGCAAAGGGTTAAATTTTATGCTGCTGTAACCTACTGCAGACTCAGGGCTCAAGTTCCCTGAGGGTGAGAACTGGGGTCTGGAGGCCTGACCCCTCCCCCAACAGGCGAGGCTCCCTGTACTGGCTTCCTATCACTGCTGTCACAAATTAGCACACCTTTAGTGACTTAAATGGGCTGTCTTACATGTCTGTAGGTCAGGAGTCTGGTATGGGTCTCACAGGACTAACGTCAAGGCGTGAGCTGGCTGTGTTCCCTTCTGGCGGTTCTAGGGGAGCCTCTGTTTCCTTCTCGTTTGGCTTGTTGGCAGAATTCAGTTCCTAGGGTTGTGGGACCAAGGGCCCCATTTTCTTGCTGGCTATAAGATGAGGCCTGTAGCTTCTAGAAGCCACTGCCTGCTTCCTCCATCTTCAAAGTCAATGCAGGCAGGTGGAGGACTTCTCAAGTTTACCTTTTGGGACATCTTCTACTTTTAAGGACTCATGTAGTTGGTTTGGGCTCACCTGGCAAGTCCAAGATGCTCTCTCCACCTCAAGGTCCTTAGGCAGGTCTGCAAAGTCCCTTTTGCCACGTAAGGTAACGTATTCACAGGTTCCAGGGGTCAGGACATGGGCACCTTGGGTGGGGGGACATGGGGCCAGGGGGATTATTCTACCTCTGCAACCGCCCAGCAGGGGGCAACCTCGGACCCCCGGATTCCCCTCTTCCTCTTCCAGGGGGAGATCTGTGCAGTCCCCTGTGCGGCAGGGACCTACGGCCCCAACTGCTCGTCTGTCTGTAGCTGCACCAACGGCGGCACCTGCTCCCCGGTGGATGGTTCCTGCGCCTGCAAGGAGGGTAACTGCCTTCTTCCCCAGTCCCATCCCCTCCGATGTGCACACCGCCAGGTGGGCTTCCAGCCGAGGGGCCGGAGCTGCTCCTGCCCGCCCACCCACGCGCAAGGTCAGGAAGCCTATATTGTCAGGTTCCAGCTGAGGAAACCCATGCCAGGCACTTCCAAAGCAGGGGTGTAGTAAAGGCGAGTCGTTAGCATGGTGTTGGAAGAGCTGAAGGGCTATATGGACAAGGTGGCATGAGCAATCCAGGGATTTGTAGCTTCTCCCACAGTCACTGCCACTCCTGGGCTGAGAGGGATGAAGGGAGAAAGTGGAGGTCCCAGAGCCCAGGTGTGAGGGCCACCTGGTGGGAGCTGGGACGTGGGCAGAGGGGCGGGAAGAGAGTGCTGGAGCACAGAGGCCACAGCCAGCGCCCGAGGCCCTGCCCGAAGCAGAGGAAGAAGAGGAGATACCTGGCGTCTCTCCTGAGTCACAGGCCAGGCCTCCCACTGGCAAGCGCAGCCGGGAGCAGCTGCAGGGGCCAGTCCCCTGTGACACGGGTCAGAGCAGGGGAAGGCGAGAAATGGTCTGAGGGCAAACAGGCTGGGAACCTGCCTCAGAATGGGAAATTGGCCTGTCCCCAAACCCCAGGGCCCTGAGATAAGCTTCCTGAGCCCAACCCGGGCCGAGAGAGCCCTCCCCACTCCGCTCATCCCATCCCAGGTGGGATCACCCACCTACAGCAAAAACAGTGAGAGCCGGGAGCCGGGAGCCCCAGGTTCTAGTCCCAGTGCTCTTAACAGCCCTGCGCTGGTTCTGGGTAGGCTCAGGATGTGGCCTGTGTGTTCCAACCCAGCCACCGGAGAAGGGCTGGTTTGGGTGGGAGTGGGCAGAACGCCCTGCTGGGCCCAGATGGAGAGGTGACAGCCTCGTTCCCTCCCCCTAGGGTGGCAGGGTCTCGACTGCGCCCTAGCCGTGCCCCACGCGGGACGTGGGGCCT